AGAACATTGTTTCGAAAACTTTCATAAATCTTTCTTTCAAAAATTTTCTTTCTTTCCGGGTCCAAAATTTCCACGAAATCTTACTATCAGAACATTGTTTCGAAAACTTTCATAAATCTTTCTTTCAAAAATTTTCTTAATGGTTCTTTCCACATTTGCATGGAATCACGGTTCTTGAGAAAACCTTTGCCCATTTTTTTTCTTTTTCAACTGGTCGATATATATCTTCGTCAGAGGCGTTTATGAATAATGACGGTCTTTGGGATATGAGTAGGGAGTTTACTTCAAATAAATGTGTAAAGATAACAGCGTTTTGTTGAAGATATGAAATCTAGGAGAATATTGTAATTACTATTATGGATGAAACATTTCTAGGTATGGGAGGATGTGCTGATAATCCATGTGTACGTTGTCGTATATGTTTTTTCCGATGGATACCCGTGGTATTGGATCATACTTTCTTCCATACTGGAAGCTTTTTGTGGATATTATGATGTACCTTCGCGTGATTAAATGTGATAAAGATTTTATTAAAATATACAATTATTTAGTCTTAAATATTTCATTTCTGCGAGCTTTTGCATTTCCTTCAAAAATGTACAGAATATGATTGAGTGATAATGGCATGTCTTTCAGCTTCGATTTAATTGAACATTGAACATCGCTTCATAAGTTGCATCGGGTGTTCGTCCTCTACCGAAACCCGCAGATGTTTTTGTGTCTTTCGGTAGTGAGGATAACATTCCTGTATTTGCGTTGTCATCGTTCGATTTTAACATCGATTCATCATGCTCGAATGGTTGCTTTGATGAAAGCAGCTCAGATCGATTGATAAACCTCGAGCGAGTAGCCTCTGAATGACTATCATTGTATGAATTGTCGTCACCTGAAATAATTTATAGTCGAAAGCTGTTTTTATTTCATGATAAATGACAGACAATCCATTAAAATAATTGCTTTTTATTACAACTAATCATGAACTCATCCTTCGAAAAATAAGATTGCAGTGAAAGATAAATTTTCTCTTTATGATACGTATTAAGCTGAAGAATTTCAGCGTTTAATTGTATCATTTGGGTCATTGCTTCTATTACTATCCTACATTGTTGGGAAACAACTTGCTCTTCTGAAATCCAGTATATGCTGTTGAAAATCGGGTATTTTTGGCAATTTTGAGATGGTCTGATTGAGAGCGTTTTATTCATTGCTGAAGATATTATTCCACATGAATTATAAATGCAGAGAATTTACTTACGAAAAACTGTATCTTTTTACACTCTATTCGCTTACTTTTACGTCAGTGTTTCATCACTAAAAGGCTACTAATGAGGCGACTAACGTTTCGTTAACTTGCCAGAAGTATTCAACGAATCTGTTGACTGTGATTTCCGTCGGTAGAAACGACTGGGTAGACGCGTATCACGCATAGAAGCCGTTTCTCTTGCTAGCAGTTGATGTGACCAGTCCGATGACATTTCAGCAGTAGTTCCATCGTTATTATTGAATGCCCTTTGAGAGTCGTATCGTTTGGAATCTTTGGATGAGTCAGGAAAACCTTTTATATTGAAGCGAGGTACGATAATATTCATTTCTTTCGTTGCAAGTGTTGTTTCTGGTGTGAGTTTCTCGACAGTACTCATAACTGGGACTTTCGCAATTGGTCTTGAATGTTCTTCTATAACGTATTGATGCTGAGCCAGAGCGGAATCTTTATGTATATCTCCAGCGAATGTTTGCTGATAATCATTTCTGGATGGATTCAGTGTAATTCGTGGATATGTTAATACTTTCGAAGATGGATACTTGATGGTTCGATTGACGATTCTAGCATTTCTCATGACGGGTTTATTCAAAGTACTCTTCAAGTCTTTTGATGATGCCTCAGAGGTGACTGATTGCATCATTGACTTCGCCACTGGAACGCTTCGAGAAGGTTGTATCATGTTGAGATCTTTTTGATTAGTGTTGATCGAGTGCTGTCGTTCAGTATTGCTACTTTGAATATTGCTATTGTCCTCATTGTTATTTCCATTATTGTTATTGTGATTATTATTATCATCATTATTATCATGTTTATCATTCACGTCAGCATGAGTTGTTATTGTGGATTGATGCGTTGACTCCAACTGATCAACAGATTCTTTCATTTCATGATCACTGTATTGTTGTTGTGATGGTTGTTGCTGGGCAATGACATCTGCGTGTTGCGTTCTCGCTTGATTACTTAAAATTTCTCGTGCTATTGCTGTACTCAGACCAAGTAATGAATCATCCGCATAAATGTTTCGTACGGCATCATCCCCTGCAATTCTCAGTCATATCGTCGTTTAATTTGGCGGTGTCAACGATTGAATTCATTATGACTGCTACCGTGTTATTTTACTGATCTGACCGAGCAGTTCTGACAGTCGGTTAGAATGACGAAAGTTCATGTCGGTCGGATTTCCCCGACATGAAATTTCGCTCGGATGCCATCACTACTGCGAACAACAATTAAAAATAAATCAACTGTACCATAACATAATTTAAAAACAAAGGACTCACCGATTTTATTATCAACGTAAGTCTTTACTCCATGCACTTGTTTCACATATGGGTAATATGAATTCGGATTCTGAAATATATTTCCCAGCTAATTACAGAACATTTTCTAAAACTTGCATTCGAACTCAATTGGTCACTATGATTGTGTATTGCAAGTGACCAAGCCAAACGGATATCTCTAGCATAGCCGTTCGTAAATAACGCATAACATGTGAAAAAATGAAGAGCATTTAAGTTTGAATTCTATTACCAAAAATTGTTTTGAAATGTTGCATTTGCAGCTCTCAGAATTGTATGAATGGTATGCATATTAAAATATGAATCGGACTATTCGCTCTTCTATTGCTTTTCACTGTCGAAAAATAGGCAGCAAATTTATCCTCTGTACCGATCAACTCTATGTTTAGATTTCCTCGTTTATGTAAGTTTTTAGCTACCATGAAATTAAATTCTTATAGTTTCGACGCGATTGCAAGAGATGTTATGATGGATAGATCATCCGAATCATTCAATGTCCTTAGCTAAAACCATTTTGTGTGCATGCAGGACATCTGCATGAAACTATTCAATCACTTTCTCTTCCATGCAGGTCAAAAATTATTTTTGAAAGTATTACTTGAAGCGTGTGAAATTGCAATTGATAAAGAATTCTGTATAAGAATAACATGTTTTACTAACGTTGCGGGTGTATCCAAGAAGTGGTAGAATAATTGGACCAATACCATCAATTATGTTGTTTATTGGTGTCAACAGATTTAAATTTGGTTTGGTGTTTGGTTGAAAATTGGGTAGGGTTTGAGGAAATGGTTGATCTAACGAATTTGATGTGTTGAATGAGCTATTAGTAGTTGGTTGAGTAATGTGTTCAGTAATGGACGATTTGATTGAGGTTGGAGTGGTGTTGGTGACTGAAAAATCGAATTTATCATTGAGTTGAATTTGCGTGAAATTTTATCAATGATTAATATAATACAATAATGGTTTCGTGTGAAAATTTTGAAAGCCTTGATTATTTGAAATGTCAAGCCAGATAATGCTAAGTGCTGACAATTAAATGTTAACGTCTGAAATTGCCGTCAAAAGTTGGATATCTTATTTTATCTTACGAAGATACAACAAAGAAAGTAATCCCAAAATTCTTTCATTATTACAGTGTTGGACTGAATCAACAGTCCATTTAAAACGATTCATCATTCAAATAACAGAAGTGAAGCAAGTCAGCCATATGTTTCTTTTCTGAGTTCATGCATATAGGAAATATTATTCGACATTTTAAATGATTATTTCGAATTTCACGTACTTTATTGCAGATTGTTATGGTATTTTATGACTCCGCATTGGGTATACTTGATGTGAGTGGTGCTTAAGAAAGTGATTTGAAGTCATTAAAACGGGAATATAAAGTGAATATACCTTGGTTATTTGATGATTCATCTTCTTCGGCATCTGGAATGTCGCTCCGATTTTTATCTCTTGTTGATTCACTGACTCCTTTTGACGAGTTCTTATGTTTCAAGTTTATTACTTCGGCCAATGTTGGTTCGGCTTCCAGCTGTGACGAGCTTCTCGTGAGATTACTTTCTGAGTTATTATGTGTATTATTAAGATACACATCCAGATGGTCATCAAATGTTTCTGATATCACGTTGGTTTTGATGATTGTTGTTTCGTTGAATGACTCCTTCGAGTTATTGTCGTACGAACGATTTATGTAGTCGTTTGTTAAGTCAAATTCATCAGCTGTTGATCCGTTGAAATGAGAAATGATCTCATCGTTCGCATCATTCACATTGTTATTCATCATTGTGTTGTTTCCGGATTGTATTCTCATTTCATCACAAATCGTATCATTATTGCACTCATTTAGCAGTTTATTCTGTGATTCTTTTTCTTCACTCTCGTCAGCAGAATCATCCATCGTTAATGGTTTCAAAATTTCTTTCTGCCTCGAAATCGTCTCTGAATTTTTGACAGTGATCTGTGAAGGACTTTTTTCGGTATCTATCGATTTTCGGTTCATTTTCAATCGAAATTGAACGTTGATTTCGGGAGAAAAATTAATAGGCACATCTGTATCAGTGGGAGTATTGACATCAGAGTCAATGAAAATCGTACTGTCAGTTGAAGAATAAATTAGTGTAGTGATAGTGGCCGCTGTTACAGTTGTTACGTTCTGGATTCTACTTGCCATTCCATCCATTTCATCAACGTGTTGCTGATTTTGTTCAGTCTGCGGCGCAAAACTGCTATTTTGTGTTGTGATATTGTATGTCAGCAGCGTTTCGGGCAGAGGTTCTGTACTCTGTAATTTGCTAGCTTCGTTGTCCATATCTTCTTTAGGTAGTATCGATGTGATAAGACCGAATGGATTCTCCTGATTTTCAATTGATTCCTCTTGCTCAGAATTCGCATTTGAGGTTTCATTGTCATTGTTATGAAATGTCGAATTTGGTTCGTTGATTTCTTGGCTATCTATAGACAGTGTAGTGGTACGTGGTTGAACTGTTGCATTATCTGAAGATTCAGTGGCGGGCAATTTTAATACTTGATCTTTCGTCGGCGGCAGAAGGCGATACAGTAACTCCTCATTTATTATTTTCGACTTTCTGATTATTGCCGACTCGTTTGGCAACGGAGAAGATGTCTGAATTGGTGCTAATAAAGGTTGCAAATGTGGTAAACTCTTATCGTTGACAATGTAAGGTAGTTGTTGATCAATTGGAGAATCGCTATAAACTATTCGATCGAGAAGGTGGCTCCATAAGTTAAGTGTGTTCCGAATTGGATTGGCGAGTAATTGTGACTGAGTTGAAGCAAACTGAGAATGAAATAGAAATATCAGTAATGCGGAGCAAATATAGTTGTGAATAAGCATCTGAAATCGATTTAGTCAAAACTTTCTTATGAATAAGTAGTGAACAACATACCGCATCAGAAGCATTCATTTTGTAATGATGCTATGTTCAGTCAAAACGATAGTTAATTTTGAACAAATGAAGCAAAAAACTGTCAGCAAAATATAGCTCATAATTCTGAATTCTTTATCGAGTAACACATTAAGAACGAAATCGTTGAGAAATTTTTGAGATAAACGATAAATGTAGTTGAAATCGGACTGGTATCATGATTCGACCACAATCAAATAAAAAATGAAATGAATCGTTTTCATTTGTTTTCGTTTGATGGTTTTTAATTGGGCACATTCAGGTAGGTAGATGAATAAAAAAATAATTCATTTATTCGTAATGACTTATTCGCAAACTACCGCATTGAACAATGAGCAGTTTTCAGACAAGTGAATGTGACAAATCAACATTCAACATCTCATGAGTGGTTTAAGAGCTGCTCGCATTTAAGGGTTCAATGAATGTGATGAATTATTATCACTGCAAGAAATTCTCGCTGCTGATTGTTTTAGTGTATGACACAAATCCGAAACAAAGACTTAGCAAATTACGAGAATATAATCACATTCGTTGACTCCGCCGGAATTTCATTAATACGTCAGCGTATCGATTGAGGGATCCATGCAATCAAAGAATATTCATGAAAAAATTGAGTATACCGAAATGTGTCTTGGTATGAATAATTGCTCATCAATTAGATAGTTTGGAAAAAATAGCATTATGAAGTGTGACTTTGAGGATCACAACTCCGTATACTCTACGTCTAATTTCACAGATAGATACATCACGTCGTTGCACTGATCTTTTTGAATCGAATGAAATTCGTTTCAATCTTGTTTGGATATTTAGTGAATAAATCTTGGGATATTTGCATTATTCATTGCGAAAAATAACGATATTGCGAATAAAAAACTTCGAAATTCAAAGAAACTCGACAAAAGTAGATTGGACAAAACGGGAAGTGAGTTATCCGTTCAAATAAAAGAGTAATCAAACGTTGACGAAGTCATATACGATAAACTGCTGGAGTTGATAAGTTACGCTATAAACTGATCGTGTAATTTAAGGAACCTGATATTGAGACGAGATAATTTCTAATCTAGGAAGGCACATCGCATCACTCGTCGATAATGATCCGTCTATGCGCAAAACCTTATTTACATTCAAAATAGGGCACATTCTTATTGCAGCGTTACCCTTCTTTACACAATCATCGAGACGTTTGCTGATAAATTGAATACACTCAAGATCACTTTGATTGTGCACTGCAGTCACCAACTTGTGAAAAAAAAGCACATTTGCATTCGCTTCTGACACACAAAACATACGTAATCGTACGCATTCTGGATATGAGCATATGAATATCTACCATAGATGCTTGAACATCTTTTTCATGTGCAAAGGATGGGTTTATGTAATGTCACCTTCAAGCAGTTGTTTCAGTTCGAATTTGTACGCATTTTATGTGTTTTTTCATATGAATGTTTTGTTGAATGTAATCAACAGATTTCAATCTAGTCAGAAATTTCAGATAATTCATGGTGAAATATGCTCGTTCAAGAAAAGTTGTTAGATCTTCTCTTCGCTGTCCATTCACACCTATCATATGTAATTTGTGAACGTGAAATCAAGCAGCGAGCGAGTTTATAAAATGTATGTTCAATCTACCTCAAATTTCCGATCGATGAATGCATGAGAAAATATAAAAGGAAGGTCCAGAAGTTGAACACATATTCAACTTGTATTTGAAGCCGAATTATTTAACAGGAACATAAAATTTATGAAATTTTAGAAAAGTTGCAAAAGCGCGGCCTCACTATCCAACTGTTATAGAGTCGTGCACATGTGCATAGCATATGGGTTTTTAAGGTTGGATCACTCGGATTATTCAAGAAAGTGGTGTAACTCCTGTCTCTGAGAGAATATAAATGTTACTTGGAAAAAACATTCTAAGAATTTGCAATTTATTTTCTTTGATTGCTGCATATTGTGTGCAAGAAAGGCACTAATGTATCGCACTTGATGATGAATTCACTTCAGTTTACTGCAGCTCATTTTGCAAATGACTTATTGTCACACGTTTGTGTTCTGTGCCCGCTTTTGGCCACGCCACAAACCAACATTTCCGCTTCGAACAATCTGCGTGATTGCTTTTCAACAACAAAGCAGTAGAAAACCAAGGAATTTGTCCGTTGAACGAGATTTCTGCTGTCAACATTTCATCAGCTATATAAGAGGATTGATTGTGTTGACAACTTTGCAAGAATTATTTTAAAAAATTAAACAACTATGATTTACCAATCATCGCAATTTCTCTTTGGCACCGTCAAATTCTCCCTCCAGGGGCAAGCTCTATCTACAAGATCCAGTGAGCTAACTCTTCGTCATGACGCATCAGAAAAGTTGGCTGATAAGTAGTCGAATCGAGTTAAACTCACCTTCTCTGCTTTATCGACCATATTCAATTGCTATGCTTCTAACTCAGCTGCTTATTTGTTATGACTACATTTCATTTTCAGCAATCATCGTATTTGATCAACTGTATTTACATGCATCGGACAGAAATCGATTGATTCACGGAGTGTTTATTATTATGAGTTCAGAAGATGATTTCAAAAAAAANAAAAAAAACGAGTCAACAAATGATGAGATCCTGCATACAAAAATAAAACACAGAATTTGACATACGGCTACCATGAAAAGCTTTAGGATATTTATGGGTGCATTTAGAAATGAGGTAACTAACGACAACGATAAAAGTCTATTCCCATAAAGTTTATTAGATATTTCGATGATTCCATTTTGATCCTGTTTATGAAGCATGCATGTTATGAGATCACTGTGGTGGTAGAACATTATCGAGGTAATAATCTTTAGACTGTATGTTGCCAGGAGGATCATATTTGATAACGACATAAAATAAATAACTGTCAAACTTTGGTAAACAATCACTGTTATAATGAGCTTCAAACGATCGTATTGCTACACCGATTCCAATATTTCTCGTCGATTTCCAAATCATCTGCGTAAAATGACCCGTCTTATGGTAATCCAAACGTTTGAAGCTGAAATTAGTAGTTCAGTCGATGATACGAATTCCACTTTGATGCATAACCAGTTTTGTTTAGTCGCAATACAACAGCTCACAATTGGTTCAGACTCCCTAAAGACTAATCTGAAAGAAATTTGTCCATTCATTTTTCTCGCTTCGAAAGCGGTGAGAACAGTTGTAAGACATGACGATTTCAGAGACAAATGCAAAGATTGACTGATAACCTTTCCTTTACAGATTAGTGAATTTAAAAGTTGTTGGCTTATAAAGTAAATCTACTTGTGATTTTATTGGTGCAGCAATGACAATAGTCGTCAAAATTGAAACTGACCGTTCATAATCGTAACCCAAAGCTTCGGTATAGAAACTTTGAGTAACTAATTCAGCCATTCTTTCTTCATCAGTAAACATTTTTGCCGCGTAGAAGAATAAATTTTCACCATATCTAAACAATTACTGCGCTTTCACTGTTAGTGTCATGTCCCTAAGCCAGCCATATTTAATGATGAGAAGTTGAACAATATGTCAAAACTATCTTCATTAAACTTGATTTGGTTAGTCATAGTGCTCAAATGGAGAGGCCATCGAATGATTCACATTTTTATGGAACACAAGAAAAATTTAAATGCAAATGCATTACCGCAAATTAAAAAATTTTGTGTAATTTGTATTTTGTCAAAAAAATAGTCAATGATTGTAAATGGTCACATACATCAACTCGAGCTAAAATGTTGAGCAACACTGAGATAATTACTTTTTGAATGGATCATGCTCCAAACATGACAATGAATCAGCGAGCCGCTGAGCCCTATTTTGTGCACTTTTTTCCGATTCATTTCCGTTGATCAACGAAGCTACATGATGTTTGTTGCGAAACATGTTGTGGTATTTGAGCAACTGAAAAGTACGATCTATCAATTAGTATAACCTAGTAATTAACACAGAACACGTGTAAGTTTGAATGACGCAAAAAACGAGTTTGTCAGTTAGCAATAACTGTCGCTCTTTGTGATCGCATATTCGATGCATTCAACAATAAACTGCATGCTGGAATGATTTCGACAGCGAACGTGAAAAAAACTAATAGAGGTTGACACCTTTAATTGTCGACAATCAAATCATTCATTTGTTATGAATGGTTTAGGCATGTTTCAACGGAGAGAGGCGATTTATAAGAATTGTTGGAATGAGAACAAAGATCACGCAAGACTTTTTTCAGTAAGCAAGAAGAAACAAGAAACTCTGAGATACGACTCAGTCAGCTCATTTTTCTTGCGCGATTTTCCTGCCTGAATAAGACGTCGTTCTTGCAGTGGGAAATACTCGTCTCAGTTCCTCTTTGAAAAAAAGTTTAAAAAAAATACATTTCTTCGGAACACATCGACTCGAAAATTGATTGGCACAACCGGATTCTGATGCGATTTCAATAGGAGGTAATCTTTGATTGCATCGAACTGAAAGTACTATTGATTATGCCATTATGCCATCAATAATGATTATGTATATATGGCACTAAGTGATACCGTTTTGAGAGTAGAAATTCTCGGAATTACTCCTTTCGATTGCTTCATCATTCCGAAAGTATTGAGCTTATGCATTTTTAGACGATGAGACCGATGAATTGACAGATTGGTCATTTTTCGGGAGTCAATTGCATTGGCGATGCCGATGGTCGAGTCTTTCCCAGTAGAGCCAACCTTTGGCAGAGTGAGATACGTGAGTCTGAAGTTGCAAAATTCATCACAAGCAGGATAAAGATTCAGTGCTTAACCCTCGCCTGACGAACACACGTGAGAGACCCGACCTCAAGTTTCGATTTTTCATAATTTCTGCGTCGTTATTCGATCTCCAAGCATAATAACTAGTAGCATTTACATCAGTCACATCTTGAGCTAGCTCGTAATCAGTATATTCTTCCAGATCGTATAGAATTTGATCGAATTCATTCAAACAAACACAGTCATCACCCGCATTAGTACTATTTGTTCTCGCTAAATTGCGTTCAGTGATTTCATCACCTGATGGCATTTTAGCAAGAGTAACTACACAACGAACACAAAGCAACGATCACACAGCAACAACCATGAACTTATATAGATTTTACGGGCACTTGATTGCGAAACTTGTCCCTGGCTGGTTCGTAATTTCGCCGCTTTGCGATGCATGGAAGCTTGATGACTGAATGATGTTTTTGTTATCTTCATTCTGATCTATTTATCTTCTCATTTATATAATCGCATTCACAAATACCAGCAGGTGTTAAAATTGTATCAGTTATTCTCATGTTACAAGTACATAATGAAATGGATCACACCGAACTTGAAAGGCTCGCCTCGTCCTCAATGCTAATCGAAAATTTCAATGATGCAAGAGTTGAAAGTAGAAGTAGATAAAATAAAAATAAAACGGTTTGTTTTCCTTATCAGACATTCTGTGGCTATGCATTTTATGAGTCTAACAAAAACCATGCTTTTTAACAACTTGTAGTATCGCTAACTTTCATGCAGTAGCATCGCTAAACCGTTAGCATAACGTTTTACTCAATCCCTGACGAACTCTTTGTACTAGTTACACGCGTTTCCTGCTAAAGTTCGATTGAAGAATCAGGACATTTTCAACACTAAATTTGAATGCGACAAACTAACTCAATGAAGCCAGTTTCACATGGAACGCAGGTATCGCTAGAAGACTGCTTCGAACAAGTCAGTTGAGCAGTGACCTTGCGTTTTGAACGACGAATCTTTTGATAAGCCGGATTTGTTAGGGTGGCACGCCCAACTTTGATACGGACATAGAGATTGCTCTGAATCGAAAAGATGGATTATTCAGATTGCAACACACTGACATGCTCAATATAAAAAATAACGAGCAACATCAAAATATTATATGATATAACCGTGAAATTAAATGAAATCGAATGGTTGAAGTCAACTTAGTCGTTGCTAATCACTAACAACGGTTGAGAGGCGAAGGGAGAGTTTATGTGAAGTAATAATGGTCTCAGTGTGCAGCTTATTGAGATGAACAACAAAAGAATTATAAAGTACAGAAAGCATGAAAATGATGTCATGCTTGAAAAGAATAAGAAGTGACTCAAATGTATCTGAATCCACTGAATCATACAAGAGTGACTAGGAATTTACTTCATTTGTAAAGAGCATTTAGTGGGACGGAGACGTTTTGCTGATTCGAACTCTGCTGATGATCCGTTGTAGTGAGAAGATCTCAAGATATATGCGCTTAATCTTAATTACGGCTAGTTACTGTGTATGTGTGAGATCTACCTAACCTAAGTTGGGTAATAAGAATCGATGAATGTAGACTTATGGATCAATGAAACTAGGAAATTATAACCTGTTCTGGTGATGATTCCAGTGAACCGATCAAGCAGTTCTTAGCATATTGCAAATGAATGCAACTGGATGAGTAAAGCATATGAGGGATTGACCGTTGAACGAGTTGAGCATTCACAGCTTTTGAACAAACACAGTTATCATCCCTTTCCGGTGAATTGCTATCACCTTTACATGCACAAAATCTCAAACGTTATCTTGATATTTGAATGTAAATTCACATAAAAACTAACGAATTTCATTCGTCTTCTTTTACAATATATATAACTGATGGGAGGTTGTTATCAAACACGCATTACATTTTGGTATTGGTCAACGTTGACATAGCTGAAGATGAAATATACAACTTTTGAAGCATCACCACAACTAAATCAATATCTGACTCAGCTGGTCAATCGTTGCACTCATACGATGTCACGAACGAACATTGAACGTTAAAGAATTGTTCAACGGGCTGACTAAATCTTAAAAGATGAGAAGAATGACGGAAAAACAATTATATTATCCATGCAACGATCAAAAACGCACCGAAATTGATATCGCTGGTTCGTATGGTCACTTATCTCCGAATACCCAAGTGCTTTATACTTTTGAACGATTACATCTAATCCTTTATCCTGCAAATAAAGAATTCTGTCCGTTCAAACACTTTTTTTCTTCCTTCATTGTCTCTTATGAAACCGAACTGCGGTGACAGAGAGACGAACATCTTCGATAAAATAATGTTTGGGAATGTATGGCTAAAAATTGTTACGAGGTACGAAAAGAAAGAATTCCATGATAACAAATAGCTCACATAGTCAACTGCTACTCTACCAACAATGTTTAATGGTGCTGATGAACAAGTTAAAGCGCTCGGTAATTTTGTTTCATTTTTGCACCAGAACGTTCAAATGAATTAACTACTTACTTGCATAAATGCTGGAACGGTGTTGATATATGAGAATATAAATGGAAGAAAACTCATATGAAGCGCGAGCATTTTAGACAGTAGATTAGCACTGAGTACTTCTCTTATGTACCGGCTCACTCTTACACAACAATCGACCAATGAAAACCGGAACAGATGACAACGAGAGTAATTAAGCACACATTTATGTTCATCACTCGGATATAGTAGTCCGCCCACACAAAGTTCATTCACACGTCTGACCAAAATGCAGTTAATTTGCAGTACAGATTGCAATTTATTTCAACAATAAGTGAAGGTACAATTAATTAACGAGTCTAAAACACGTAATTTATAGTGCAAAAACTTTTAAAATGATTATTCGTCATCTATCAAAATTCAATGCTCATTGTGTGAAAGTTGCCATAAAGTTTTTTTTTGTTCATCTGTCTTTCCACCACTTCTTTTTTGTACTCATAGTAAACCACGACTGTTTCTTTCACTGCCCAAAAAGTTGGTGAAAACTGATACGTTTACCTGGACGGGTCAAACTGTTAACTACATCCATCCAGATAGTTGTAAATGTGTGATATTTCGTGTAATTTTAAATATTGCAATTAACCGTTTTATCATTCCTGTTTGCTTCAATTTTTCTTGACTATCATGTGAATAAATGATTAAATGTGCGTAATCATGTAAAACGCGATAAGGTTGCTAACTATGCGAAAAAATAAATCAGTGTTTCCGTATTCAAATAAATTGCATGAATGCTGATTGTGAGCAATATTCTGCTTAAATTATGAACGTACGGCATATATCGATTTCTTTTTTCCACTTATCTTGTTCTGGCCAAGAATTGCAATACGATTCCGGATTAAGACCTCGATCACGAAATATAATTAGTTAAGTCCAAAAAGTTGAAAAGATGACCATTCAAATTGGAGTTGTAAAGTGCTTTCGGTATGAAGAGACATCAGTTCGCTTGCGTCTCATTTATATCACAGTCATAAGGTTAAACTAGCTTTAAGGCTCCTAAGTCAGTACTTTCATATGAGTTCAATTCTTCTGTGCCAGACGTAGGACGCTAAAGAAGGAGAAGCCCAGCAGGCTGTTCTACATTTCGTTTGTTTTACTCTTCCGAGTGCTGAAATGTCAAGAAGGGCTTTTATAGAGTATAGTTGAGCGGGAAATATTTTGATAAATATGAGAGAAGAGAATCGTTTCTGCTAAAGCGAGAATCTGCAGCATTTATTGCCTGTAACATTGAGAAGTTAAAACAGCAATCCATTCGTTCATAAAGCTCCACGTTCACGACCAATGCAATAAAGCGTCACAATTGACACCACTGTTTTAGGGGAACAACTGATATCTTGCGTTAAATTACAGATAGAAACTGTGACAAATGTGTAATATTTTGGTATGAATTTGTTTAAAGCTAGGAATTGAGATAATAACTTTTCCGAAATTTGCGTATTCTCACTGGAGCAGCTTGCGAATATAATCAACGAATTAGGATTCACAACGAATTTATCAGAGCAACATACAGTTCATGATCACACGGTATTATCGAGCTGTCTATGGTCGCAACTGATCAACATTTTGTCGATACATTGAAACGAGGTTGCAATTTAATAAACAAGCATATCTCGTCAACATCTCGAACTATTCGACGTTCTACCCTTGACTGCAATTCTACCCCTACTTTGTTCTTATCCTGCTGGCTCGGAACAAGGCAAAATATTTTCCCACCAGCTCTCTGCCAGTTGTTTTGTTGGAATCAAGATCGTAGTGCCTCACATTTGTGGTTGTTTTATGATCTTCAGTCAGAGTCGCTGTACATTTCGTTTGTGAACTGTGAATTACAATCTCATTTTCAGCATCCCTGTAAAAGTGGAAATCCCAAGTTGAGCAAAACAATTTGAAGGATTCACATGTGCTCTACATCTCCCTAAATTTATTCATCTTTTGATTTTTGAATAAGTCTGTAGGTTCGTTTCCGGTTTCAGTAATGCTGATGTACGTTAATCAACATATGCCCTTTACAAGGAACTAGCATGAGTTGCATTTTATATAAAATATGTGAAGTTTTGTCACAGAATAAAAAATCACAGATAATAAACAACAAATTTGGAAAAGCAGCATTAGGATATGATCAGAAAACTCTAACGATTCTTGCAACTGATATCGCAAGAGTATTTAACTGGAACATAAAAGAATATGATAGCATCGGTCAATTTCCATCTTTCAGCTCCAAAGGTAACATTTCAATGTGAGCTGAATTGAATGAATGATCATGACAAAGCAGCAGTCAAATTGTGATCACTGTATCCACATGACCAATCTTGCTTTACCAGTTCTGGCAATTAGATCATTTGGAAAATTTTATCGTAACGTTGATAGAAAAAGAGAAAGAATTTCTTGTTGAAGCCGTTGTAATTCAGAACTATAGTTAAGTGTCAGATGCATGTAAATTATCACCATTCATTTCATGATGAAGCTATGGAATGAATTCGAGACAAACTCATTTCACAATTACCATTCCACCAAAATCTAGCAATTTCAAAGCAACGAATGAGAATATTGCACAACTAATTGCAAATCATATCGCATCATATAACGTAACATTCGAATCAAAAAATAAATAATCATATTTTAATATCAGTATGGACGCTCATTGACTAGCTGAGTTTTGGAAGAGTGACGTTGTGTGCATACCAGCCATGCCATTGGCCTTTTCAGTGGAAGATTCTTGTTGGCGTTTCGCATCAGGTAATTATTATCCTGGAAATGAGCATCGTTCTATCAGATGAGATCAAGAGCAACACTCGTATCGATATGATCGAAAAACAATTGTATCAAGCAACTGAATATGCTTCAGTAATTCAATTCACAATTGATCGATTTTGCGGATCCAAATGTTGATCTAGATGAGACCTAGTCAAAATTTCACACTTTTTTGAATCTCCTATCTTGGAAATCAGTTACACGATGCAAAAGTGGATGAGTCATGTATGTAATAACGGTTGAATGATATGAATACTAGTGATGGGGTCCGAGTGAAATTTCCGTCGGTCGGGATCCAACCGAGTTGGCATTTCGTCATTCCGACAATCGGAATTTCGACCGACTGTCGGTCGGATCCCATCACTAATGAATGCTGAATTTAAGGAATACTAGGAAGGAAGCATATGATCGGTATCTATCGAAGAAAGACAATCATATGTATCCGCTGGAGTGTCTTTAACAGTGAGTCTGGATATTTTATTCATTTCTGTGTATTTCATAATTCTTCTAATGTGAACAGGAAAGCAAGCGTGATAGTGGGCGTGTCAGAGTTGCAAATATTAGATCAAGATTCTGAGCGGATCTGTTTACTGGTTGCACTTTTGAGATTCATTTGACGATGGCAAGAATATTTATTTGGCTGTAAGTATCAAAGTGCTTCATGGTAGCTCTGAATTGGTAAACCAGAGGAGTCGAAATCGAATGGAAAAGCACTCGCAGTCGAACTCCAAACTACTCATGATCCTGATACCAAAAATTGATGAGATGGGTGACTGCTTCAATCAGTTCGCTAACTGAACGTCACCTGCAGTTGTTCCCGATGGCTGTTACATGTTATCAATCATTGGCGAAAACAACCTACTCTTATAAGATCACTGCACATGTTAAGGCTGTATAGCGGTTGCGTGACCGTAAAATTGAGACAAGCACTGGCTCTGACTCCAAACCAACGGATTCGCTAGCGGATTCATGCCGAGAAAGTTGGCACCAACCAATCCGAGGCCATTAAGTGCTGCCTGGTTCGCAAGCAACTGCAATTACATTCATTCACACTAATAGACAGAAAAAAGTAACACGACCATAACTGAGAGACGCGAAGAACTCACAAGGACAGCCTCTGAGCTGATCGTGAGGTACACATTAATAGAGATTGGTTATTCGGGTCAGCTGATCAAATTTCGGTTATTTTCAGTATTGTCCCATTATTAAAGCATATTCAAAGGCTAGAATAACTGGAAGCATTTCTATTATCTTGGCTTATGAATGTATTATACTGAATGTTTTTTTCAAAATGAAATAATAAATACAAAATGTTCCCAGGTGAACAAAAGTAGCAGCAATGTATGTATGCTTGTATCACCACCAGCATTGCAACAACAAAGGTTTATCATCACTTACACCGTTGTCATTTGGGGTTCGCCCCCAGCTGCATTTGATATTCTGACCATTGATTTCCTTCCCATTCAAGCGCATAATGGCACGAGTGGCTGACTCTTTTGTGGTATAACGAACAAACGCATAACCTTGTTGCTTGAAGATACGCACCTCATTGATAACTCCGATGGATGCGAACGCTTCACGTAGATCATTCTCTAGAATGGAATCTCATCACATACTTTCTGAATCATAAAACGAATTGTTATTGATAGAAAAGTGTGAATTTGTATATGTCACATGCCTCAAACCGCTAACAAAAAACGATTGAACGTTGAGTGGATTAACTCTGCAATATTACAAATGAAACGTGCCGGTAGTCGATGAATGAAGGTTGCCCACATAAACGGAAGTATTATCGGCACGAGTCGCGTTGAACACTTCGTCGAAGGTTTGTTCTTTGGCATGCGCATCATCACTGTTGGTTGGCTTTCGAGACGCCCAGTTTGTTCGAATTTGTCGGCGTCCGATCACTTGTCCGTTCATACCAGCAATTGCCTTTTCCGCGCTCTAAAAGATCGATTAGCTAACTGATTGGGGGTAATACGTGACACTGCTCTGATTCGAATGTAACTGAAAACAGGTAATCGACACGAAAAATCTATAACTGATTCATTCGTATCAAATGCATGGATCTTCCATGGGGTCAATGCGCATACATGTTACTCGGATAAATAATATCACCTATGTTTTCATGTTATTTTGTATCCTACATGAGAAATTAGTGAATTAACTAAGCATTTGCAAACCTCTTTACTTGGGAAGGAAACAAATCCGTAGCCTTTTGATTTCATCGTTTGTGGATCGCGTATGACTTTTGCCTCACTAAAACGCAAGTATTCATGAACAATTCCAACTCCGTTTGGTATTATAATGAAAATATTCGCTATATAGTAGCACTGACAAACTGGGAAGTGACGATATTTTTCCATGAGATCCAGAACTAGCGGATCGAAATAATCATTTTCGCTTCAAGAAAAATGGAATCAATTCTAAAACACACGATATCTCTCCGTATGCTGTGAATGCAGCCTTTAACATATTATTGTCCACCTCAGCGGCAAGATCTCCAACGAACACGTGAAAATGTTCTGCAAGAGATGAAACATAGATACTTCATTGAAGAAATTTTTGTCGAAATGTATGTTCTAGAGAGACAAGCATGTCTAATTGGACATCATAATGTTAGGCATTCCTCTAGAGAAGCATGCTTAACAGTATGACATGCATTTTTAGAAATAATCAACCGATGTTAGAGGGGACCATGTCAAAATTCTGCAGTTTTTTCGACACTGCTGATTATGTAATACTATAATGCATGGTTATCGAAGATGGATTTCAAGTGCATATTAAACGCGGTCATCTGTAAATCACTCAGAGGGTCCTTGCACAGTAGGTTGCTGGTAATATGCTTGCACCTCATTCATTCACTTACTGCTTGTGTCGATTTTTGGAGTTGGGTTCTGTGCGGACCAGCTCGTCTTCAATTCCTGAAAGTCAGAATGATCTAGATTGTTGAATTCACCTCATTTTCACACTCTTTGTGGTTATTAAAATGAGTTAGTTCTCTTACAAGTGCAACTTAGTGTCAATCTCAAAAGCAATGAATTTCAACCTCTCAGTTTGCATTTTAACTTTCACTTATCAGTGCTACTGATTTCGAATATCTGTTCCGAATGTTGCTATTGCATCTAGACATTCAGCGATTTTTAAATCAGCACTTTTCTTCCTACACAGTAAACATAATGCGACAGTACAAATTAGCGATTCCCTTAGCTCACATTTTCAATGATCTGTTCCGGTTTAACGTTTGAATTTTTCTGCTTGGTAACGTTCTCACACCTCCGCTCGAAGATTTCGAAGTTATTCTGTTCTGTTCTCCCGTGAAAACTGCTTTGTTCCGTTAACGTATCGCAAATTTCAAAGCTGTTCTATCCTATTCTGAGTAATTGTGCAAGTGAACATACATCTGACTGCAATTCAAATGGCATATTCTGAGAATTGTGCAAATGAAATAGGTAAAAAAACAACTTACAGCAGCCCTCTGAATAGTAGAAATTGGAATGGTGGTTGGATTAACGCCATTTTGAGGGATTAAGAATATTGGTACACCTTCAAAAAGATTGCTCATTGGTGGTAGGATAGGTGCCAACGGTGAAATCGCTTGTTGCGTATACTGATACGAAGGTTGTTGCTGTACATACTGAACAAGAGGTTGAAAGTTGGGGTTGAACATGGTGAGAGGTGTGGAACACAGAGATGACGGAGCCGTACCAGTTGACGGGGTAGATGCGGCTGCACCGGCCAGCATGTTCGTATGAGCCTGCTGTGAAGTGGTATGCGGTGCGGCAGTGATCATCTTCTTGGCGAACTGGTTCACGTAGCTATATCCGTATCCTGTATCGCCGAGAAGCAGCACTTGCTGCGCTTGGCTCGGCAGCGTCTCTTCTATAGGAAGTGAGCGCTTCAGGATTGAATGTTCGTAGGCGACACACGCCTTGTTTATGCTCTCGTTTCGTTTCACGAACACACACCAACACTACACACAAAACGCTTTCTGGATCTCACGTCACGTCCTCTCGTTCTGTAAATTCAACAGCTTACGATGATCCCCTCCTGAACGCGATGTTCACAAGCTCTCCGCATACGTCCTTTACTACGTAATTTCCTAAAACATCGTTCGTTAATATTGTTTCACTCATCCTTCAACAAGCACTTCACATACATCTTATCTGAATTTACATTCATGCGATCTTTCTGCAAATGCCAGTATTCCTATCAATCACAATGTAATGCAATTTTCGTTTCAGATTTCCCTGCTTGCAAGACTCATAAAAAGTGGCATAATACTATTATTCTTGCTATTGTTTTCAATATTACCATGCTAACAAATTGTCAAGAACATTCGCGAAAATGGGTAACTAGTGGCTATGCTCACGGCTAAGTGATTGCGTTTGTTAACCAATCGTGCTTATTGCAGAACCTACGTTCACCCTAATAGATGGATCACAAAGCTGATTCGATCATTCAATTCGAATGGTCGTCTATTCAGAGAATGTTATCATGAAGCGTTATGCAATGAATGATTCAATTCTGTTTCAATATTGCAATGCCCGAACGCTTTGTTGAAAATATTTCAAAAGAACAATTTCCAAAATTTTGAATCACTTTGCACGCACTCATACGTCACTCGTGTTTAGACGGCATCGATCGATGCAGTCAATCTTCTGTACAGTAGAAATCGTAGGAAAATGGATTTTGACGCCAATAAGGGCCTAATTCTTAAACAAATGAAACAAAAGTATCAAAGAAGCGGTGCAAGGAGGGGCAGGGAGACTAACACGAGTGAGAAAAGAGGAAGTTGCTTAATCTACTGTGGTTCTTTTGAGGATATCTCGATAAGTACTTTTGATTCTTGCGAAGGATTTGTGAGTGAAGTGATGCCAAATTTGTGTTGTAAATAAAGAATAACATACGCTATTATGGTTCGTTCGAGTGACGAATAATAAGAGACTGAAGATGAATGGAGTCAAAATGTTCATTTATTAACATATGCTAATGTACGTAATATTGCGATTTTTTTTATTATTGGTGTTTCCGTCAACTATGTGTAACATATGAACATCGCTATCATTTACAAATCAAGGACAGTCAGCTGCATCAACTAGTTCACTCAAACGATTTGAAAACTGTGCGACCTGCTTGTACCAAGGATCTTATTGATATGAGAGAATGTTGTGATTTACACTGATACGATGTTTTACACGACTTCTAATCCCTATCAATAAAAGAAAATGGTTCACCCAAGAGGAATTTCTTCCTAGGCGACATTTGGGGATGGCAGAGGAGAAATTGGCGAAAGCGGCAAATCAACGTCGACTAATTCCGCTCATATTTTGTTCGAAATTTTTTAGTAGTCTTTTCAAAATGGTTTCATGATCAGAATGATTCCTTCACCGCTAACGACAAAGTGTTGTTAGCAATTTTCCTGATCATTGAACCAATTTTTTGGATTGTTTTTGGTTTATCGCTTAATAGTTATAGACTGTTGCAGGAGAGAAGGAAAATGGCAGTCATGTAGATTGTTGTGTGCGGAATGAAGGTCTACCATACGGCCAAATAGAAGCAAGAAACGTGAGATCATGAGAAACACCAATTTAAAATGACAATCATAAAAATGTTAAGTGTATATATTCAAAAACTGTTAGCGTGAAAACAAGAATAATGAACATGACGATATGAGCTGAAATATCAAATTATGAAATTTGAAGCACAAAAAATAGCGGAATAATCCAGAAAGAATAAAGAAGAGCAGTAGGCATCATCGATAATCATCCATACGAATAATTTTACGCACTAGTTGGTTGAAATTAGAAATTCGATTGCAACACATACACGCACGCACACATAAGTCCTTGCACAAAACAACACCATTTTGTTGGGCTGAAGGCACTTGATTCAGATCCATTCATTGAGTGCACCTCTTTTATAATCGCGAATAACATACATTAAGGCAATTTCCACTCTCGATCAGCCTATAAGTGTGCGGCATCAATCAGTGATATCGTTAATCACAAATGACTTCTACATTTGACATTGGCATTTGTTACGATTATTGTTACGTCAAGTGAGATGAAAATTTTGAAATCGAACATAATACTCGTTTAATAGCAGTAACAATTATAATTATACAAACAGCAACAATGATAATTAATGATACTATGTATTCCTGATAAGATAATAATAATAATAATTGTTTTTGTTATTTTTATTATTGCTATTATTATTATTGTGATCGTCTTCATTATAAAACTGATAGCAAAGTTGATTACAGTCAGGGGATTAGAGTATCGTGAAAATAGATCAAGAAAATTCAAAATAAAGTAGCACAATAATGTTATCAGTTATTCGGTTCACAAAGGCAGTACTCGAGTAGCAGCAATAAATATTCGTTCGACGATGCCTCAATTATGGATGCGTTCGATGCGTCCATGGAGAAAATTGCTCGGAACGCTAGAATAATGAAGGACAATTAAGATGGCGCATTCAATTTGCACTGTTTACGTCGAACGATTTTTATTTTAATCATTCAACATTCGTTCGGATGAATTTTAAAAATGCACAGATCAACATGAGCAGGAGAAGAACTGCTCAAGTGAATAATACATGTGGCTAATATATGGAAGCAACACGAAATTATTCTGTTTCATCGTCGATATAATATGATCGAATAAAGCACTTTTAGCAACTTGATTTTTTTTTGAAATTGCAACATCAGGAAGTACAAGCAGCCAAACTAAAAAACCGAAAATGGCGCAATTTGCAAACATCTTGAAGACTTATAGATTCGAGCATCAATTATACACACATTACGTTAACGGCTAAAGGTACAGTGCGTTCCTTCAGCTGTTCATGCAAAGTGTATGACGGACATTCGAATCTACAATTAACTGTTAATGCAAACTATGCTTTTCTCGAGAAACTCTGGAATTGCTGGCATTAAGAAAAGTATTGTTCCTTTGTTAAAACGCTTAATTAGGCGGTTGAAAGTAGAAATATCAAATAAGCGCTGTCAATCAATCAGGTCTGTTGATCTTGGTCTGATACTTCAATAGACATTTTCACCGTAGCTTCAATCACATCTCAGTGCCCTGCAAAGCACAGTAAATAGTGATTGGGTTGTCAGGGGAAAAATCTTTACGAATTTGAGTGGGAGAATAAACCCGAAACAATACAGTTTTGGACTCATGATTCAGTTTCGCAAAGAGAAATGAAATGAACTCTTGTTGCTTCAATCGCTTCAATAATTCCATGCAACCATTCAAAACTGATGACTAAGCGCTTGAAACATAACCAACTATGATGTCAAAGCGGCTTTCAATTCCATCTTCTGTCATCGCTTATTATCAGTAGTCAAGACACCACAATGCTAACAAAGATTCTTCAGTGTTTTCACAATACGAAACTAACGACAACTTGTATCGTCACAAATGTACAATCCGAAAGTCTACATAGCCAAAAGGAATGACCTGGCCATTCTTGCAGCTGTCAACGAAATCAACAACAGCGTTCATTAGGAAAATATCTTATTATAAATTTAGCAAAGAATGAAAACAAAAAAAAACGAAAGAATTAAAGCTGCATTCTTATAAGACAGTGTTTGCACATAGATACATAAATAAGTGAATGGAACATTGAATATGTAAATATAGTTGAACAAGAAGCCAGTAGGGATATGGACTTCTCAAACTTTTTGCAAGGGTAATCATGCAAAGCAGAATATGTTACGAGCGAGGACTAAAAAGTACGATATGAACTCATCAAACTTCTTGTGACCAAAAAAGGAGCTATTGATTCCTCTCCTACCTAAAACAGAATCTCATCCCAAGGATAATTGCGTCATTGAGATTCAGTTTCGGTACAGAAGCAAACTTCGTATATTTTTCCAAAGTGATCCAAATTAGCGTAGGTTCAGTTATTCAATGGTTTCATTTGTGTACTTTTTCTACGTCTCTAGCAATCCTCTCTCGACCTTGAAGATTTTTTGAACTCTGCATCTCCTCCCTTTGATGGGTCCTCCACCCACTCGTTCACTGAAAAATCGTAAAAAGTATGCTTTTGGGGCTCTTAATCAAGGATGTACCGTATATAACTGTATAAAAGCTCCGCACCTATATTTTTCATTGACCTTTGCACGTGATTCTCTATTCAGTGAGCAAGGGGGGCTTCGATTAAGAGGCTCATATTTTTCGCATCCTTTCGAGAAGGGGCTTGCTCTCCATCAAAGCGAGTTTCTGGACTTATAGTGAAGGAAACACGTAGCTTATATTGATGAGAAGCAATGAATTAGTGGTGTGCATGATGGCATAAACAAAACAGGTACGAATAGCCGATGGAATGCGGTCGAGTAGAGTGGCAAGTGAATTTGTTTGAAAGAATGAAAAGAAAAGCCACAACGCATGCTTTCGAGCTTCAAATGGATGATGATGCCATTATGCCGTTTCGTCGTTTCGCTAATGCACATTGATTAGCAGCAACAAGCAGAAACGTCCAAGCAAAACGCCCAAATCAACGACAAATCGTTCGATCGTTAAGACATGAATATCGACACTAATCGTTCAGTTCCATATCACATTTATCATGCAGCGTCACTGCACCTAAAGCAACCGAAGCTATTACAAGACTTTAGATGCATCTCTTAATGAAGTGCACTGATACAATAGTTGCTTATTGATGTATTCGATCAGGAACGCATGCTTGTTACGTGAACATAAGACAGATCATCAAGAAACGGGGGCAACTTTTATGTTTTTCATCAAATGGCGTTTTAACTTCGTATCGTGCACAGAATTTTAATATAATCATATCTCTATACCATTTTTTCTGAAAGCGATCAGAAACAAAGTAAATGTGATGAAAGTTGAATTGCTGACTACAATTCCTGATAACAGATTATCATCTACATACCATTTAGTAATATACGTATTCACCTTATGAAGGAGAAATAGTAGTTTCTGCTTGATGCCACCTGGTTTAAGGTTGTTTTGCCCTAAAGGTGTTTTTGCAGAATCTCAAAAAGTTCTTGAATGAGTACTTTTTCTGATATATCATGACATCCTTGGCCACCAAATATAATTTGACGCCTCGGAAATATAAACGATGTGGTCAATCAACGTTATTCTAAGCACTAGTAATAAAAAGGATTGCGAACAGTGAAAATGATAATTTATTGAAAAATATTGATGTAT